CACTCTATCACTCTGCGTCCTTCTACTGCTCCACAGCGTGTCCCTCTACCGTCTCCTCCTGCGTCCTCTCTTCCTGCCGGTCCAGACCCGGAGTCTGACTCCCTCCGTGCTGCTAGTCCAGCTGTCACGCGTTTTCTGGCCACTGCTGTCACTGACCCTTTGTTTGAGTCCTCTGCTGCGTCTGCTCTTGTTTTGCTGAGCTTGTTGACTTTGCTGCAGCCTGTCGCCTAGACTACGCCACTAGTCTTGTTGCTGAGTCTGCGTCTGCGTCTGTCTGTCCTCCGTCCGTCGAGGGTTAGTGTGCTCTTGGCACGGATGTTCTTGAGGACAGACAGGAGGAGTTTGAGTGCTTTGCCGCTTCTGTACCTCATCTCTTGTCCATGCTGCTTGCCCCTGAGGGAGACCCGGATGCACCAGACATCCCGACCCCGCGCTCTTACGCAGAGGCGATAGAGGGTCCCTTCTCCTCTCAGTGGCAGGCAGCCATGGACGCAGAGATGGCTTTCTAGAAGTTCACAGGCACCTACGTCGACGAGGTTCCCCCGCCTGGGGCGAACATCGTCAGTGGCATGTGGATCTTCAAGGTGAAGCAGTCGCCGGGTTCTCCGCCTGTCTTCAAGGCGCGTTACGTTGCACGTGGCTTCAGTCAGCGACAGGGAGTTGACTTCTTCCAGACCTTCTCCCCTACCCCGAAGATGACCACTCTTCGGGTACTGCTACACGTAGCTGCTCAGCGTGACTACGAGCTCCACTCGCTTGACTTCAGCACAGCCTTCCTACAGGGCAGCCTGCACGAGGAGATCTGGCTGCGCTGCCCACCTGGCTTCACTGGGTCGTTTCCAGCTCGTACCCAGTGGAGCCTCCAACGGCCAGTCTACGGTCTCCGTCAGGCACCCCGTGAGTGGCACGACACACTCAGGACGACTCTTGCTGCTCTTGGTTTTGCTCCTTCCACTTCAGAACCTTCTCTGTTTTTACGCACTGACACTACTCTGCCGCCGTTCTACGTTCTCGTGTACGTAGACGACCTCGTCTTTGCTACTGCTGATACTGAGGCACTCGCCCACGTGAAGTCGGAGCTGCAGAAGAGACACACGTGCACAAACCTGGGTGAGCTGACAAGCTATCTTGGCTTGCGGATCACCCGGGACAGAGCACAGCGCACCATTACCTTGACTCAGTCACACATGGTGCAGCAGGTCCTTCAGCGCTTCGGCTTCACGTACTCCTCGCCACAGTCCACTCCTCTGCCTACCGGTCACTCGCTCTCAGCTCCACCTTCGGACGAGTCCATAGAGCCGAGTGGCCCATATCCAGAGCTTGTGGGCTGCCTCATGTACCTGATGACTTGCACACGACCTGACCTCGCATACCCTCTCAGCCTTCTGGCTCGCTACGTGGCTCCCGGCAGGCACCGAAAGGTGCACTGGGATGCTGCGAAGAGGGTGTTGCGATACTTGTGCAGTACATCGGGCATGGGGCTCGTGCTTGGAGGACGGGCTCGAGTTGTCCTCACTGGTCACGCTGACGCCTCCTGGGTTGACGACTTGGCTACGCAGCGGTCGTCACAGGGTTACACCTTCAGTCTTGGCTCCGGTTCTGTCTCTTGGCGGTCTACCCGCTCTTCTTCTGTTCTCAGCTCCAGTTGTGAGGCTGAGATCTACGCTGGGGCCATGGCTGCACAGGAGCTACGCTGGCTCACCTACCTGCTGACCGACTTGGGAGAGGCGCCTCGTTCTCCTCCAGTTCTGTACGTCGACAACAAGGCCATGCTGGCCTTGTGTCAAGAGCACAGACTGGAGCACAGAACGAAGCACATTGCTCTGCGCTACTTCCTTGCTCGAGAGTTGCAGCAGCGTGGCCAGCTTCGTCTTGCTTACGTGGCCTCTCAGGCCAACACTGCTGATGTTTTCACCAAGGCACTTCAGCCTTGTGATCATTAGCGTTTCTGTACTGTGTTAGGCCTTGTACCTACTGTGCCTCACTTGCTTTCTTCTTGACTCCGCCTGTACTGTACTCTTTATACATATACCTGCATGCTTACACTTGCTAGGTTGTGTTCAATGTATTGTTTGTTCTCCTTTATATAACTATGCATGTGAACTGGCCTTGTGGCCATTTGCTTGTGCTCAGACTGCGTGGTGACTTTGTGATCCACCCTGAGCTTGCTTTGCCTTTCTTGACTGGTCTTGTGACCTCTTGTTCTCCCCCACTTTGCCTATGGGGGTGTGTGAAACTTATATATGCTATAGTCTCTTTAGGCTATAGTGGGGTAGTCCTTAGAGGGTACAACACTTTTGTGTTTGCTACTTGTACCCACCTTCTTGTCTAGTTCTTCATTCCTCTCATTTATTCTCACACCAGTGACTTCTCTTGTCCATGTAAAGACTGCGGTTGCGGCGCGAAACTGATGGAGCCGCGTTGAGGCTCGTACGGGGCAAAGGTGGGTTCCTGCTGATTTCCGCGCGCGTAGGATGAACCGTCAAGACTCATCGGTGTTGCTCTATTGTTGTTGTCGCTGTTGTTTGATTGTGCAGGAGCTGCTTGCTGGTGTTGCTCGTAGAAGGACATGAAGGAGAAGAACTTCTCCATCATGTTTGGGTCGAAGCCTGCTGGTTGATTCCCGGGAGTTTCCGTTGACTCCGCAGCTGGTCTTGTTGCTGTGCCTTCTTCTGTCTGTAGGCCAGAGGCTGGAGGTGGAGTAGGGGTAGTGCCGAGAGATCCGTTAGAGGAGCTCCTCTCCTTCTGTGTTGCCATGTCTTGCGTTGTCGTAGGTATTTAAGAAAATGATCTTGCCCTGTTTGCTCTCATACCATGTTGGGCTAAGAAAAGCCCTTAGGATCTTTCAAGGCTAAGATCAGTGTTGAAGTAGAGATGTTGTAATTGCGGAAGCGTTAATATAAGAATTGCTTGAACCACCTTGTACTGGTGTGTGAGAACAAGATAAGTTAATTAATAGCAGGGAAATACAAGGCTTTTATATGATTACAAAGGAATATGAAAGGTTCTATTTTTAACTGTTTTGCTGTTGCGGTTCGATACAGTGCCGACTCGGGTAACTGCTCAGTAACGAGTCAGTTATGTGTCCTTGCTGTCGCACTGTACTTTTCGTCAAATCAAAGGTCAGCGACCTTTGACCTTCGCGTAACCTCCAGCGGTTGCTTTTGTTGACCCGTGTGTTTCTTCGCTGTAGTCTGCTTCGTTTCGTGTCGATACTTGGATACTTCAGAAGCGTTTGAATTACTTGTTTCCAACAGTGTTTAGGGTCGATTTATCCGAAAATGCATCCAGATTCGTTTTGGGTATTATCTTTTTTTGGGCGGGAGTTTCATCTGTGACCATTCACGTTATTTTTTCCCTGTTGTTTGTGAATGATTCCGTGAAGCGTTTTATCAAACACGTGAAAACACCCTTTGCAGTGATCGGTACCCGTTATTTTTTTACCAAACATATTATTGAGACCCTTGTTGATTACGAGTGGCATATTTTCCCTTTGGTTTAGCGCATGGGCAAATTGATGTAGCAAATTTATATTTTCGGTTAGATTTCTACACTTCGCCTATGCCGATCGATTGCACACAAAAGCACAAGGTCGGTGTGTGCACGTTGGCACATCGATCGTCAATGTTGGTTGGAGGCAGGCCTATCCAAGTCCCTGGGACCAAAACTTTGAGTCCTGAGCTGCTCGAATTCTGGCCCTGATTTTCACGGGCGCAGTCCAAATAAAAAACTTGAAATCAGGGTTTCTGAGGAAAGTGGCTTGTTTCTGATGTAACACAGGATGATGTTTCCTCTTACTTACCAGGAAAAAGGTTCATACGAACTACTCATCCACACACCTACAGCCTCTACATCGTAGGCAAAAGCACCATAGAAAAAATCATCGGGGAGTGGGGGTATGGGAGGAGGCGGGGGGAATTTGGGGGGGGTGTGTCCTTCGAAACAGAAACCGAAGCTTTGATTCAGGGGAAGGCCCAAACGAGGCCCGTAACGGTCACGGGTGCCATTCGGATCTAACACTTTAAATGGTCGAGCTGCTCGAAACGTAGGCCAGAATGTTCAGGGCATTAAGGGCAAATGCCCTTGCTTCTACAGCCCTGGTTGGAGGTGACACGATTGTGCGGGCCATTTTACTGTGCACTTGTAAACGTTGCCGAAATAGGTAACCAAATCGAACCTGCACAGGATCAAACGCGGGGAGGTGATGCGTCCTAGTGGAGGGTGTTATATGTTCGAATTGCGTCTATTCGTTTTTCCGTATCCGAACAACAGGCATAGACAAGTCCTAAGGAACAACCCTACTTACAAAGATTCTTCTCACGCACAGAACGACAGGCAACGACGTTTCTGAGTTGTCCGTGCCGCGCGCGGTCCCATTGTGTCGAAAACCCAGTGTATTACAACGTCGCAGCCTGTCGCGTTACGTCGCGTTCCTTGCATCCTTACCTCGCGTGGCTTCCGGCGACCACTGTGCGACCTGCGACGAGGCGTCGCCCGGTGTGCGATGGACCCCACTCAGAGAAGCGCCATCGTCCTCGATAATGGATCCGGGTAACCCCTTTCGCCATCCCTTTTGTCGCTCAGGCTCCCCGCTTCCCTTCCTCCCTCTCCACTTCATAAATCGCAACTCTGTATCGTAATTTCCTCTTCAGTCGCCTCGCTTGCCCCCCATTCCTGCATGTCGTACACCCCACTCCTGCTCTGCTCCACCTCTCCATCCGTCTCCTTTTCACACTCCCTGCACGATGGGGTTCGAAGGTAATCCAGGGCCCAGCATCGCCATACCCACACAGCGGTCACGCCACAGCTCATTCGAATCCTGTTCCTGTCACTCTGTTCTTCACCGAAACCCCCTTCCCGCTCTAGGTTCAAGAAGATGGGCTATGGCTGAAACCTAGAGCCCAGTGTAGTCGTCCCCACGGTAGCCGCCTGCCACAACTCCTCTGCATCCCACTCTTGCTCCTCCTCTCCTCCCTTCTTACCTTCCCAGGTTCACCAAGATGGGCTTTGGCGGAAATTTAGAGCCCAGCTTCGTCATCCCCACAGTCGTTGCCTGCCACGACTCATTCGCTGCCTCTGCTGCGCTGGCGGCGCCTAGAGCCAATGCCGTGTCGCCAGCTCAGCAGCAGCAGCAGGCCCACGTGGCAGCGCTCATGGCTGACCTGGACGTCCACGTGGGCGAGGCGGCGTACGCTGCTGCGAGATCCGGGCCGTACAAGCTGACGCATCCAGTGCAGAGAGGGCAGGTGGGTGCAGAGCGGTACAAGTGGTTTTGGTTGATTGAGTAGGGCCATACAAGCTGACACACCCAGTGCAGAGAGGGCAGGTGGGTGCAGATGAGTGGAGAGAGGGGTGCAGGGGGGTGAGAGGAATGGGGAATCCATTACATTCGACTGATGACTGATCTGGGCCGTACAAGCTGACACATCCAGTGCAGAGAGGGCAGGTAACTCCAGAAGGATGCAGGTTGGGTAGCCGTACAAGCTAGCGCATCCAGTGCAGTGCAGAGGGGACAGGTGGGTGAAGAGCGGTGCAGGTGGGTGGAACGGGGAGAGGTGGGTGCAGGGAGGAGGGGCATATGTGGCAGCAGAAGCCATGATGGGTTTTGTCCGACCCTCAATAATGCGCATTTCCATAAGTAAGACCTCCGCAGCCCACCTGTCTGCGTCTGACAGCATTTCCATAATGTGCTTCTTCCTTTCCTGTAATTGACAGCTAGAGGCGTGGGACGCCATAGAGCATCTGTGACAGCAGAGCCTCCTGAAGCACCTGAGGGTGGAGTTGAAGAGTGCTGATGCAGCTCCTACTGCTGTTGCTGCTGCTGCGATGTGTGATGTGTTCGGTCTTGTTGTTCGTTCCACCTGCCCCTACCCGTCAGATAGAGGCGTGGCATGCCATCAAGAACCTGTGGCAGGAATCGCTCTTCAGCTCTCACTCACCCTCCTTCGTTTGCTGTCTCTCCCACCCCCCCCTCTCACCACCACCACCAGATAGAAGCATGGGACGCCATGGAGCATCTGTGGCAGCAGTCTCTTTTCAAGTACATGCGGGTGGAGCCAGAGGAGCATGTGTTGCTGCTGGCGGAGAGCCCTCTCACCCCGCCCGAGCACCGGGAATACATTGCTGAAATAATGTTTGAGACGTGAGTGGGTGCCTGGAATCGTGTGTATAGAACGTGACTGGAAGCGCTGGGAGACGAGCGCATGGTACAGAGTGGCGCAGTGCAGTGCAGTACAGTGCAGTGAGAGCAGAGGTGACTGTCATGCGGCCCTGCTTGCTTTTCAAGTGCATGCGGGTGGAGCCAGAGGAGCATGTGCTGTTGTGGCTGAGAGCCCTTCACCCCTCCCGATCGCCCAGAGTACATCGTTCGCTGGAGTCATGTTTAAAACGTGAGTCATTTGTCCCCTTTTCTGCTCACACCCCCGAAGCACCAAGAGAACATCGCAAAAAATAGGTTTGAAAAGTGAGTGGTGGTAAAAAAAAAACCCTGTTTTACACTCCCTTCTCTGCCCACACCCCCTGAGCACCGAGAGTACATCGCTATAATATTTTTTCATCGCTAATAAGTCGTTAGGACTTGGCATCGGTAGAAACGTGAGTGCAGAGGGCCCTCGCCTCATCTATCCCGTCTATGTGCTCTGAACCTGTCCGCGTCTATCCCCTTCCACCTCTCTTCCCCTTTTCCGTGTGTCATGTTTCCTGCAGGTTTGGTGTAGCAAGGTCTTACATGGGCAGTCACCCTGTGGCCTTTCCTCTCCCATCCCTCCCCTCTGTCCCCTTCCCCTTCTCCTTTCCCGTGCCTCATGCTTTGGTTGCAGGTTCAAGGTGGCAGGGCAGAGCATGGCCATTCAACCATCCCTTATGCTATATGTTCCTCACTCCCTCCCCTGTCCGTTTCCCCCCTCTCATGTCCTGGCCTCATCGTTGTGCAGGTTCAACGTGGCAGGGCTATATATGGCCAGTCAACCATCACTGGCCCTCACCGCGGCGAACACAGCAGCTCAGGTGAAAGCAACAAACCTGGCAGGCTGTTTTTTTAAACTCGCACGCACTACCACTGCAGCTTTGGTGGAAACAATATGCCTGGGAGGTTGTTTCAGCAAGTTCACACCAATCACAGCAAGTTCACAAACACAGCAGTCCTTTGGACGTGATGTCAGAAGGCACCTATGCTAGTTCTTGAACTAAAAACCCCATTGCTTACAATTCAGGTATCTGATTTGAGAACCTACCGATTCCCCCCATTCCCCTGCCTCTGTTCTCCTTCACCCCATTGAAACTGCAACTCTCATGTCCCTCTCAGCCCTCGTCCTCAGGTCCCTATCCCATTCCAGTCCATTCCTAAGCACGCCCCCTTATGCCCCCCCTTTTCCCCTCCCTACCAGGTCCCAATGACGGGCGTGGTGGTGGATGCTGGCTTTGCAGCAGCCTCAGTGGTGCCCGTGCCGTGGTGGTCGAAGGCTATGTTCTGGTCTGGGGGGCATGCCTCCTTCCCTCCCTCTCCGCTTCTTCCCCATCCCCCACTTTCTGTTCACCCCTCCCCTTTCATCGTCCACTCAGGTCCCAATGACGGGCGTGGTGGTGGATGCGGGCTTCGCCTCAGCCTCAGTGATGCCAGCTGTCCAGGGCTACGAGTTGGGGGGCAGCTCTTGCTCTCTCTGTGGCTCTTCCCTTACGGTGCTTTGTATGTGTCCTCCCCCTCCCCTTCCAGGTCCCAATGACGGGCGTGGTGGTGGATGCGGGCTTTGCCTCAGCCTCAGTGGTGCCAGTGGTGGAGGGCTACGTGTTTGGGGGCATCTCCTGCTCTCCTCTGAGCTGCTTTCTTCCCACCGCTCATACTTGTCCCCCATCCTCCATCTCCCACATCTCATTCACCCTGTCTCCTCCCCGCAGGTCCCTATGACGGGCGTGGTGGTGGATGCGGGCTTTGCGTCAGCCTCAGTGGTGCCTGTTGTCGAGGGCTATGTGCTGGGGGGCAGGGCAGATCCCGGTCAATTCACTAGCCATACACTCGTACTTCCCATTCCCCACCAGGTCCCAATGACGGGCGTGGTGGTGGATGCGGGCTTCGCCTCAGCCTCAGTGGTGCCAGTGGTGGAGGGCTATGTGTTGGGGGGCAGCTCCCGCTCCATGCCTGTGGGGGGCGCTCACTCCACTGCCTTTGTGCAACAGCTCATGCGGGTAAAGCACTGCTCTCTACCCTTTCATCTCATGTGCAACTCTCTCTGCTGGTAGAGGGCTTTGTTTTGAGGCAGCTCCCGATCCGTGCCGGTTGGGGGCGCTCACTCTACGGTCTTCGTGCAGCAGCTCATGCGGGTACATAATGCTGGTGGTGCAGCAACTCAACCAGTGGTCGAGGGCTACGTGTTGGGAGGCAGCTCTCGCTCCATACCCATGGTGGGTGCTCAACTTGAGGCCTTCGTGCAACAGCTCATGCGGGTAAAGCTCGTTCTGATGCCGGCACTATCAAGTGAAGTCTGTCTGGTTCGTATTCTTTCAAACAAGCATGTTATGGTATGATCCTATGTGCGATGATATTTTATATGGTGTCATGTGTTATCTCTATCCTATGGAATTCTGTCGAGGGCAAACAACACAGTGTGACTAACCAAATGGTAACGCTAGCTCTCGTTCTCATTGCTCTTGCAAACATGCCGAGCCTTTGCTTTCCAGCACGTGTCTTTCCAGTACTGGAATGTGGATGGGGGATGGCTCTCGTTCTCATTGCTGTTGCAAACACTCCAATCCTTTCCACAGGGGGCCCGTGGTAACCATGGCCTGCTCAATGCATGGAGTCTCACATATATTTAACATGTGATTGCCCCATGGTCACCCCTTAGTTCGTGTGTGATTGCTGTGTGGTAACTGGTTACCCTAAGGCTCATGCCCCTATCCCATGCGCTATCCCATGCCCTATCCCATGCGCTATCCCATGCCCTATCCCATGCCCTATCCCATGCCCTATCCCATGCCCTATCCCATGCCCTATCCCATGCCCTATCCCATGCCCTATCCCATGCGCTATCCCATGCCCTATCCCATGCCCTATCCCATGCCCTATCCCATGCCCTATCCCATGCCCTATCCCATGCCCTATCCCATGCCCTATCCCATGCCCTATCCCATGCCCAATCCCATGCCCTATCCCATGACCTATCCCATGCCCTATCCCATGCCCTATCCCATGCCCCTATCCCACGCCCTATCCCATGCCCTATCCCATGCCCTATCCCATGCCCCTATCCCATGCCCTATCCCATGCCCAATCCCATGCCCTATCCCATGCGCTATCCCATGCCCCTATCCCATGCCCTATCCCATGCCCCTATCCCATGCGCTATCCCATGCCCTATCCCATGCCCTATCCCATGCCCCTATCCCATGCCCCTATCCCATGCCCTATCCCATGCCCTATCCCATGCCCTATCCCATGCCCTATCCCATGACCTATCCCATGCCCTATCCCATGCCCTATCCCATGCCCCTATCCCATGCCCTATCCCATGCCCAATCCCATGCCCTATCCCATGCCCTATCCCATGCCCCTATCCCATGCCCTATCCCATGCCCTATCCCATGCGCTATCCCATGCCCCTATCCCATGCCCTATCCCATGCCCTATCCCATGCCCTACCCCATGCCCTATCCCATGCCCTATCCCATGCCCTACCCCGCGCCCTACCCCATGCCCTATCCCATGCCCTACCCCATTCCGATATCAGGACCGAGGGGAGTTGGTACCTGCAGAAGAGGCGATTGAAGTGGCGAGAAAAGTGAAGGAGACATATGGGTACACATGCTCCGACCTTGTCAAGGTACGTCCAGTCCATGTAAATGTTTGTAGTCTTGCACTGCGCATGCACGCATGCATGCAGACATGTCTGTGAGGACAGCGATGGTCAGTGAAGGAGACGTATGGGTACACATGCTCCGACCTTGTCAAGGTGCATCCATCCACCCTGCATGTTTGCGTTCTCGCATATCCTGCATGCTTGTCTACGTGTTTGCCTATCTCACCTGCAAGGTGAATAAAGGAGAGTGAAGGAGAATGAAGGTGAGCAACGGAGAGGTGTGGACAAAGCACGAGCCCTCTCGCTACCCTAAGGTGTGGGCGGCAGCCAACGCTAATTCATTTCACACCAACACGAGCAAGGAGTTGCTCCTGCTTCCTCATACCAACACGTTGCTCCTGCTTCCTCATACCAACACGAGCAAGGAGTTGCTCCTGCTTCCTCATACCAACACCAGCAAGGAGTTGCTCCTGCTTCCTCATACCAACACCAGCAAGGAGTTGCTCCTGCTTCCTCATACCAACACCAGCAAGGAGTTGCTCCTGCTTCCTCATACCAACACCAGCAAGGAGTTGCTCCTGCTTCCTCATACCAACACCAGCAAGGAGTTGCTCCTGCTTCCTCATACCAACACCAGCAAAGAGTTGCTCCTGCTTCCTCATACCAACACCAGCAAGGAGTTGCTCCTGCTTCCTCATACCAACACCAGCAAGGAGTTGCTCCTGCTTCCTCATACCAACACCAGCAAAGAGTTGCTCCTGCTTCCTCATACCAACACCAGCAAGGAGTTGCTCCTGCTTCCTCATACCAACACCAGCAAGGAGTTGCTCCTGCTTCCTCATACCAACACCAGCAAGGAGTTGCTCCTGCTTCCTCATACCAACACCAGCAAGGAGTTGCTCCTGCTTCCTCATACCAACACCAGCAAGGAGTTGCTCCTGCTTCCTTATACCAACACCAGCAAGGAGTTGCTCCTGCTTCCTCATACCAACACCAGCAAGGAGTTGCTCCTGCTTCCTCATACCAACACCAGCAAGGAGTTGCTCCTGCTTCCTCATACCAACACCAGCAAGGAGTTGCTCCTGCTTCCTCATACCATCACCTCCCCTCCTCCCCACTCTATCTTCAGGTCTTCACCAAGCACGTGAAAGAAGAGTGTATTTGAGACATCTCAAAAACACCCCTCCCCCCAACTCTGTCTTCAGGTCCTCACCAAGAACGACAGGGAGCCATGCGAGGTGACTTTTGAGTCGACTCAAATGTCACCTCATACCAACACCTCCCCTCCCCCCCACTCTATCTTCAGGTCCCCACCAAGCACGACAGGGAGCCATGCCATCCAGGTATGGCAAGGCAAGGTTTGGACGGCCACCAACACGGGTTCGTGTTCCCCTCTCCCCTGCCCTCCACCCACACCCTGTGCCCCGCCCGCAGGAGTTCACAAAGCACGACAAGGAGCCTAATAAGTATCGCAAGGTGTGGACGGCAAGCGCCCCTTCCGACGCAACCCCCCACTCCCTTCACACATCACCTCTCCCCTCTTATCTCATCCTTCGTCCCCATCCTCCCTCTGCTCAGGAGTTCACAAAGCATGACAGGGAACCTAATAAGTACTGCAAGGTCTGGACCGCCACCAACGGTCATGTACTCATGCACTTCCCTTCCCCCCCGCACCTCCCTTCCCCCACCCCACCTCCTTCTCCCCCCCCCCCCCCCACCTCCCTTTCCCCTCCACCTACCTTTCATCAGGAATTCACCAAGCACGACAGGGAGCCTAATAAGTACCGCAAGGTCTGGACTGCCACCAACGCGCGCAACAACACTCCTTACCGCTGCGACGTGGGGCACGAGCGGTTCCTGGCTGCAGAGGTGAGTGAGGGGATTCACGTGGGTTTAGACTTCGACGTTTTTTAGGGTTTCGGGTGAAAGGTTTGGGGCTTGGAGTCTGGTTTGAAGGGCTCGGATCAGACCCCTATGCGTCAATGGACGGCCACCAACGCGCGCACCAACACGCCATACCACTGAGACGTGGGGCACGAGCGTTTCCTGGGTGCAGAGGTGAGTGAGGGGATGTCCTTCAGAGTAGAAGATTGGGGTTGAATGTATCAGTAGACCACCACCAGTGAGCGCACCGACATGCCCTATCGCTGTGGCGCACGAGTTGTTCCTGGCGGCTGACGTGAGTGAGTAAGTGAGGGGAAGCGTGAGAGGTTAGGTTCAGAATTTCGAGTCTGGGCATTTGGGCTTTGGGGTTTCAGGATTGGGGTTGGTCTGTAGGGCTCAGCACCCCCTCGTGTACCTAAGTAGATGGCCAACAATGCTTCTCTAAGTCATCATCACTCCTCTCTGCTCGACTTTTGAGGCGCCTCCAAAGTCAACAACGCTTTTCTAAGTTATCATCACTCCTCTCTGCTCGATCCACGTACAATCCCAACCCTCCCACTCCTCCCATCCCTCCCACCTTTCCTTCGACCCCTCAGGTTTCTGCTCACGTGCGATAGCAGTGAGCAACGTCTGCACGTCACTTTCAGAGCTGGTGGATGCAGCCGTGCGGACAGCTTCATAAGGCCTTCGTCCCTTTTCTTCCCTCTTCTTCCCTCTCTCCCTCCTTCCCTTCCTCAGGTCTTCTTCTCTCCTGATATCGCAGTGAGCAATGATGGCACATCGCTAGCAGAGCTGGTAGATGCGGCTGTACAGACTGCCCCTCTCCACTCTTCTCTGCCCCCCCTCTGTCTCCTGCTCCCTCCCTCTCCCACCTCAGGTCTTTTTCTCACCTGAGATCGCAGTGAGCAACGTGGGCACGTCACTGGCAGAGCTGGTGGATGCTGCAGTGCAGACCGCTGCCATTGACACCAGGCACTCGCTGTACAAGGTGGGTGCTGTGTGGGTGTGCGCCTTATCTCTTTGGGAAACACCTGGAAAGGTGATCCCTGTGGTATGCAGCCGTGCAGACTGCCGCCATTGACACCAGGCGCTCACTCTACAAGGTGGGTGGTGCTGTATGCGTGTGCCTCGCATGCACCTTACTGGGAAACATGAGACGAGCAAGCCAGTACCAATGGGCTGCAGAGCTGGTGGATGTAGCAGTGCAGACTGCCGCCTTTGACACCAGGCTCTCACTCTACAAGGTGGGTGGTGCTGTATGCGTGTGCCTCGCATGCACCTTACTGGGAAACATGAGACGAGCAAGCCAGTACCAATGGGCTGCAGAGCTGGTGGATGTAGCAGTGCAGACTGCCGCCATTGACACCAGGCGCTCACTCTACAAGGTGGGTGGTGCTGTATGCGTGTGCCTCGCATGCACCTTACTGGGAAACATGAGACGAGCAAGCCAGTACCAATGGGCTGCAGAGCTGGTGGATGTAGCAGTGCAGACTGCCGCCATTGACACCAGGCGCTCACTCTACAAGGTGGGTGGTGCTGTATGCGTGTGCCTCGCATGCACCTTACTGGGAAACATGAGACGAGCAAGCCAGTACCAATGGGCTGCAGAGCTGGTGGATGTAGCAGTGCAGACTGCCGCCTTTGACACCAGGCTCTCACTCTACAAGGTGGGTGGTGCTGTATGCGTGTGCCTCGCATGCACCTTACTGGGAAACATGAGACGAGCAAGCCAGTACCAATGGGCTGCAGAGCTGGTGGATGTAGCAGTGCAGACTGCCGCCATTGACACCAGGCGCTCACTCTACAAGGTGGGTGGTGCTGTATGCGTGTGCCTCGCATGCACCTTACTGGGAAACATGAGACGAGCAAGCCAGTACCAATGGGCTGCAGAGCTGGTGGATGTAGCAGTGCAGACTGCCGCCATTGACACCAGGCGCTCACTCTACAAGGTGGGTGGTGCTGTATGCGTGTGCCTCGCATGCACCTTACTGGGAAACATGAGACGAGCAAGCCAGTACCAATGGGCTGCAGAGCTGGTGGATGTAGCAGTGCAGACTGCCGCCATTGACACCAGGCGCTCACTCTACAAGGAGGGTGGTGCTGTGTGGTTAACTGCAAGGGGAACCATGCAACACTACAGGAGACAAGGGTGTGTGAGACAAGGGGTGCTCCCCTTCTGTACTGCTGCAATACCCCAGCCACCCCCCGCATGTGCAGACTGCTGCCATCCCTTAACACACGGCGCTCGCTCTACCTTTCAAGGTAAGAGAGTGTTAATGTGTGTGCCTCAGCTGTTGGGGGGACCATGAGACAAGACAAGGTAATCCCTGCATGTGCCTTGTCTCATGGTCCCCTTGTCTCATGTGTCTGCCTAAGCCTCACCTGATTCAATCAGTCCAGACTGCTGTCATCGGTACCAACCAGGTGCCCTCTTTGAAAGACGTGTCTTTGTGAGCGATTTCTGAAATTTCTTAAATATCGCACCAGACTGCTGCCATCGGTGCTACCAGGTACCCCCTTCGAACGACGAGTCTCTCCTGGATCCATTTCCTTGGATCCTTGCGCGCATCAGTTCCCTGGGCGGGGCCAGTGTCGAGACCGCGTGCGTTTTCCTCGGGATGTACGCACGCACGAATGTTTCCATCTTCCGCTGACCTGTGCACACCCACCCTCGTGTTGCACGTAGAACGTCGAGCTATCAGGCGGATCAATTCATTTGAAGGAACCTGAGCGGCTATTGCTTCTTCACCCTTGTCCACACTCGTCTCATACCCTTGCCTTCCCCCCCATCTATTCAACAGAACTTCGTGCTATCACCTGGATCAGCCATGTTCAAGGACTTTGTCCAATAATTATGGCCTATCCTGCCTTTTGTATATCTCGTCAACTCCCTTCCTCTCTCCAAGCCCCACAGAACATCGCGCTATCAGGCGGGTCCACCATGTGCTAGGACTTTGACAAGCCATTCTGGCCAGTCCCTCCCTTTGTCTATCTCTTCACCTCCTGCAGAACATTGTTCTCTCAGGCGGCTCCACCATGTTCAAGGACTTTGGGCGGCGGTTGCCTGACCATCCTCCACTTCCTATTCCCCTCCCCCCTGTCTTCAACAGAACATCGTGCTATCAGGCGGGTCAACCATGTGCAAGGACTTTGGGCGGAGGTTGCTTGTGCACCCTTGCCTCAGTGCCTTTACTGCCTCACTGCGCCTTACTGCCTGTGTCTGCTGCTTGAACACCCCCTCCCCCCCCCCCGTTCCACACACACACAGAACATCGTGCTATCAGGCGGATCCACCATGTTCAAGGACTTTGGGCGGCGGTTGCAGCGAGATGTGAAGAAAGCTATCGAGGCCCGGATGGCTGGGTCTAGCGAGGTGTGCTTGTAGTGGGATGTGCTTTTACTGTATTGTGCTTCTAGTGGGGTGTGGGTATAGTGAGTGAGGTGTTGCTACCATGTTGTAAGCGAGACGTGAAGGGAGCTCTTGAGGCCCGGATGGCTAGATCTGCTTGTAATGAGGTGTGCTTCTAAGGAAATGTTCTTCTAGTGGGGTGTGCTTCTAATGAGGTGGTGCTATCACGTTGCTAGTAAGGCGTGAAGAAAAGCCAGGTTGGCTGTATTTGCTGGATCTGCTTCTAATGAGGTGTGCTTCTTGTGAGAAATGCTTATTTCGAGGCTTACAAACGCGTGAGATTTGAAGAAAGCCATTGGGGCTAGGATGGGTGGATCTCTTTTCAATGAGATGCCTATAGTGAGCTGTGTTTATGTCGAGTTGTGCTCATAGTGAGGAAGTGTGATTATAGTGAGATGCAATTGTATCGAGTTGTGCTTCTAGTGAGTGAGGCATGTGCTTGTTGTGAGGTGTGGTGTTGGCGAGCTATGACGAACCGAGCGAGGCCATCATGGATGGATCTGCCTGCTGCAAGTAAGGTGTGCTTGTTTAAAGGACTGCTTATAACAGGTGTGCTTACGGCGAGGTGTGCGCATAGTTACAAATGTTTGAGTGAGGTGGAACTCATAGTGAGATCTACTCATAGAGATGTGCTCATAGTGAGATGTCCTCATATTGGGTCTTTATTGTCAGATGTGCTTTTACTGAGATGTGCTTACAGTGAAGGTTGGGTGTGTTTGATCACGTCATGTACACGCCATTCCCACTCCTCATCCCGCCCTCCCTCCCATTCACTTCATGAGCAGGCTGTCTGGTCTGGTTCACAGTCTCACTTCTAGTCCATTCCCCTTCCCCATTCCCCTTGACCAAGCATCCCAAGGCATTAAACACAGAGGTCACAGTGGTTCGGGGGCTCTGTCGTCACCACAATATTGTTATGCTTGATTTTTTTTTAACGCCCTCACCTGCTCTCCCTGTACAGCCCAACGCATCGGACATAGAGGTGGCGGTGGTGGGACACCACCTGCAGGAGCGTGCTGTCTGGTTCGGGGGCTCTCTACCCACCTTTCTTTACTGCCTTCCCCCACGTGCCCCTCCATCCGCCCCCCATTACAGCCCAATGCATCAGACATAGAGGTGGCAGTGGTGGAACACCACCAGCAGGAGCACACAGTCTGATTCGGGGGCTCACTCATCATCTCAGTACTGTGTCCCACCACCTGCAGGAGCACGCTGTCTGGTTCGGGGGCTCTCTACCCACCTTTCCTTACTGCATGTCCCCCACGTGCCCCTCCATCCTCCCACCCTTACAGCCCAGGGCATCTTAGTTGCGGAAGACGCGTCTAGCGTCTTAGACGCGTCCGTCTAGACGCAGCGTCTAAGACGCTAGACGCTAGACAGTGTAGATTAGACGCAGTATTAGACAAAAACCCGGGCAGCCCTAAAATAAATGTTCGGGCAGACCAAAAAAAGTTCTAAGGCCTAAAAAAAATGTTCGCCGACGGCATTCTCGCTCGCGGAGGAGGACCTAGACGAATGGCTACTAGAAGACATGGTTGCGCGGTGGAAGTAGCTAAACCCTAAGGGTTTTCGAAAGAGATTTGGAAGAAATGAAGGTAGGGGAGCACAAATGAGGGATTTGTGCTCCCCAACCTCTTGGTGGTTAGCCATATAGGTTGGGTTTTCTAGATACCAAGCGGGGAAGTGTGGTTTGTGTTCAATTTTGGTTGGGTGGGATTCAAATTTGCTTGTGGGGCTGGTTTTTGTGGTCGAAATGGTTGGGAAGGGGTTCTAATGGCGCGAAATTGAATTTCGCGTCGAAATGGCGAATTTCAATTTCGCGCGCGCGATTTTTTTTTTCGGGCTGCCCGAAAAAAAATCGCCCAAGCGTCTTCCGCAACTAAGCAGGGCATCGGACACAGAGGTCACGATGGTCTCACTCACACCATCTGCAGGAGCGTGCCGTCTGGTTCACAGTCTCACTTCTCACCTTTTCTATCGTCTACCGCCCTCCTCCCCCTTCACCCTCTTCCCCTGTACAGCCCAAGGCATCGGACATAGAGGTCGCGGTGGTCTCCCACCATCTGCAGGAGCATGCCGTCTGGTTCGGGGGCTCTGTTGTCGCCTCCTCCCCAGGTTTCCAAGGGGTAAGCTCTGTGTCTGTTAATCCAGTGTGTTTAGTTGTCGCCTCGTCACCGGTTTTCCAAGGAGTGAGCAACATCACCATGTTTCAGATTTCTCTTTATATCTTTCGGTTGTCTCCTCCTCTCCAGGATGACAACGGTTTCGCAGCAGCTCAATTTTTACCTGTTTGCCTTTCCATCGGTTGTTAGCTTCCTCCTGTTGTCAACTTTTTCTTTAAGCCATGTAGGTCTTGTTCTCTGTTTGGCGCCTCTCTCTGTGCATCCCGCACCAGGTGTGCACCACGCGGGCTGCTTACTTGGAGCATGGACCAAGCATGTGCCAAGAAAACTGGATGATCAGTGGCCGCTTACCTCCCGTACTCATCTGTTCGTTTCAACTTCTCTATTTGCCCGTCCCTCTCTCTGCGCATCCCGCACCAGGTGTGCACCATACGAGCTGCTTACTTGGAGCACGGGCCTAGTGTGTGCCGAGCAAACAGAATGATAAGTTCCTCCTTGTCGTAACACTTGTTGATTGACACACGTAGGTTTGAAATACCGTATGGCCCCGAACATAAGCGCAGGTGCGCTAATAATACGTAAAACGGGTTTGTTTTGGGTTGAGTAAAAGGTAAAAGCGCATGCATCGGTAAAAGGTAAGAAATGAATTTTGTTTTTTTAACGTACCAACATGAAGCTCTCAAAGGCGAATACACACGAACGTTATTCACGTGGGATCGTCCATGAAAACTAGGGGAGAACGGCCGCGATTCGGTTTCCCACTGTACAATTCAGTATAGAAGCATCGAACCAGCCAGCGCTGACTCACAAATTGCCTTGCTGCCCAATCAGAGTCATGCGTTGCCATGGTGATGTAATCGAGCCGAACCCTCTAGAAGAGGGTGGAATATTCCTTGCCACTGCAGCGGGAAATCGTGCCACGGAGGGACCTCTGCAGGTTCAGGCGGGGGTTTCGCGTCATTCATTGTCGAGGACCCCGAGCCGCGAACCCGAAGAGGTCCCCTCCGTTGCCCAATTATGCACCTAGTCTTGCAGTTTTCTATTCAGTTTTTCTCTCTCTTCCGCCTGGCTGCGGAAGCCATGGCAGAATTCACTAGCACCCACTTCCTTTTCCAGAATCGGCCCGTCCTCACACTCCTGCTGCCATCGGCGTTCGATGATTTCCTGTCGGAACCCGGAACTAACAAGCCCCATATGAGTATATCGAAGCTCCGGCACCAGCACCATGTTGGGGCGAGCCTGAAGAGTGCCCGTGGGACAAATCCACTGTGGGCGCCGAGGACGATGTGGCCGCCGACGACGAGTGTTGCGCCGAGGGCGACAAGGGCGCCGAGGGTGATGTGGGCGTCGACGATGATGAGGGCGCCGAGGATGATGCACGCGCCGAGGCTGATGTGTTTCCCGAGGGTCGTATGGGCGCCGATGATGACGACGGCGTCGAGTACTGGTCGCACGACGGCCTACCTGAGAAGTTGCCGATTCCGTCATTTTCTCCAGCTAACCGAAATCGTCCTCACCCTTCTTCTGAGAACCGTGATGTCCGCCCCCCTCTCCCTGGCACAAGCTGACGCATCATAAGCGTCAAGCGTATACTTCCCAAGGAAATATTCGGTGGCTCGTGCGCCTAGAGGTTGCGGCGTCGGTGAGCGAGGTGGCACGAGAGTCAGGCATCAACCGCGAGTGCCTGACCGAGTGGAAAAAAC